AATATGTATACTTTGTTGGATCTGACATAAGTATTTCGAGGAGTTACAAACGGAATGACAAAATTAATATACCCTCCATAGTATGGCGGAGGGTATAAAAAAGTAAGTGCTTCAAGTCAGCATAAAACAAAACCGAAACATGTTTCATGGATTTTTCGTTGATATTTGTTCGAGTTCGTGAATGAAACTAACATTTAGATTCATCTTAGAGAGAAAGTGTCAAAGTGGGAAATATTCTATACCAAATTTCACTATATATCTCAGAATAAACTATATATCTGAGTATAATTGTTTTGTAGGAAATCTTCATTTAATATAAATATTATAAAATACAAGTGGAAACTATTTCATTACGTTTATGACTGTTAAATTAATAAGTTTCCAATCTTAGTCAAAATCTGCAATAATACTCAATATTTTGGGCAAAGTGCCTGAGGAAGAAATATTCTAGAGCACATTTCACTATAAGTCACCGAAGATAATAAATTTATATTTCCATTATATTTAAAGAAAATAAATGTATCAATCTTATAGAAAAAAAAAACGCAAAAATATTTCCTACTTTTTTCAGGTATTTTTCTTTGATTTTTCTTTTTCGAGTTAATACCTGAAAGTAACATTCAGATTCGTTTTAGAGAAAAAGTGTCAAAGGGGGAAATATTCTGCATTAAATTCCACTATATATCTCAGAATAAACTATACATCTTGGTATGATTGTTTTGTAAAAAAAACTAGATTCGAAAATTGTGCATTACAAGTGGAAATTACTTCTTTAGATTTTTGACTTGTAATTCAAGAAGTTTCCAATCTGAGTCAAAATCTATCATAATACTCACTTATTTTGGCAAAGTGCCAAAGGAAGAAATATTCTAGATCAAATTTCACTTGAGGTGTGTAAAGAAAAGAATTCTCTATTCCATATATATTTCATGAAAATATTTACATCAATGTTTTAAACAAAACGCGAGAAGATTTCCTATTTTTATATATTTTTTTGTGATCTTTTTTCGAGTTGGTGAATGAAACTAACATTTAAATTCATTTTAGAGAGAAGGTGTCAAAGGGGGAAATATTCTATATCAAATTTCACTATATATCTCAGAATAAACTATATATCTGAGTATAATTGTTTCGTAAGAAAACTACATTCGAAATATTATAAAAAACAAGTGGAAACTATTTCATTACGTTTATGACTGTTAAGTTAATAAGTTTCCAATCTGAGTCAAAATCGACCATAATACTCAAGTGTTTGGGTAAAGTGTCAAAGCAAGAAATATTCTAGAGCACATTTCACTATAAGTCACCGAAGATAATAAATTTATATTTCCATTATATTTAAAGAAAATACATGTATCAATCTTATAGAAAAAAACGCAAAAATATTTCCTAATTTTTCAGGGATTTTTCTTTGTTTTTTTTTTGAGTTAATACCTGAAAGTAACTTTCAGATTCGTTTTAGACAGAAGGTGTCAAAGGGAAAAATATTCTGCATCAAATTTCACTATATATCCCAGAATAAACTATACATCTAGGTATGATTGTTTTGTAAAAAACTAGATTCGAAAATTGTACCTTACAAGTGGAAATTACTTCTTTCGATTTTTGACTTGTAATTCAAGAAGTTTCCAATCTGAGTCAAAATTTATCATAATACTCACTTATTTGGGTAAAGTACCAAAGGAAGAAATATTCTAGATCAAATTTCACTTGAGGTCTGCCAAGAAATTAAATCTCTATTCCATATATATTTCAAGAAAATATTTACATCAATGTTTTAAATGAAACACAAAAATATTTCCTATTTTTTAATTTTTCGATCTTGTTTCGAGTTGGTGAATGAAACTAACATTTAGATTCATTTTAGAGAGAAAGTGTCAAAGGGGGAAATATTCTATAACAAATGTCACTATATATCTCAGAATAAACTATATATCTGAGTATATTTGTTTCGTAAGAAAACTACATTCGAAATATTATAAAAAACAAGTGGAAACTATTTCATTACGTTTATGACTGTTAAATTAATAAGTTTCCAATCTTAGTCAAAATCGACCATAATACTCAAGTGTTTGGGTAAAGTGTCAAAGCAAGAAATATTCTAGAACATATTTCACTATAAGTCACCAAAGATAATAAATTTATATTTCCATTATATTTCAAGAAAATACATGTATCAATCTTATAAAAAAAAAAACGCAAAAATATTTCCTACTTTTTTTCAGGGATTTTTCTTCGTTTTTTTTTCGAGTTAATACCTGAAATTAACTTTCAGATTCGTTTTAGACAGAAAGTGTCAAAGGGAAAAATATTCTGCATCAAATTTCACTATATATCCCAGAATAAACTATAGATCTAGGTATGATTGTTTTGTAAAAAAATCTAGATTCGAAAATTGTGAATTACAAGTGGAAATTACTTCTTTAGATTTTTGACTTGTAATTCAAGAAGTTTCCAATCTGAGTCAAAATCTATCATAATACTCACTTATTTTGGCAAAGTGCCAAAGGAAGAAATATTCTAGATCAAATTTCACTTGAGGTCTGTAAAGAAAAGAATTCTCTATTCCATATATATTTGAAGAAAGTATTTACATCAATGTTTTAAACCAAACGCGAGAAGATGTCCTATTTTATATATATTTTTTTGTGATCTTTTTTCGAGTTGATGCATGAAATTAAAATTTAAATTCATTTTAGAGAGAAAGTGTCAAAGGGGGGAATATTCTGCATTAAATTTCACTACAATCCTCTGAAAAAACTATAGATATAGATATAATTGTTTTACAAGAAAACTATATTCGAAAATTCTACATGTGGAAATTAATTGTTTAGATTTTTCACTGTTAACTCAATATGTTTTCAATCAGAGTCAAAATCTCCCACAACACTCACTGGTTTGGGCAAAGAGCCAAAGGAAGAAATATTCTAGATCAAATTTCATTTAAGGTCTTCAAAGAAAAGAAATCTCTATTCGATGTATATATAAAGAAAAAATGTGTATCAATGTTCCCATTTTTTATAGATTTCATAGATCATAGATTATTTTATAGATCGCAGAAAATATCTTTTTTCGTGTTGATACCTGAAAGTTACATTCATATTCGTTTTAGAGAGAAAGTGTCAAAGGTGTAAATATTCTGCATCAAATTTCACCATAAATCTCTGAATAAACCACTTGCATAGATGTAATGGATTTTATGAAAATTACATTCGACATATCTACATTATTAGGGAAAACTATTTATTTGCGTTTTTATACCCTACAACACTATGTGTTGGGGGTATTATAAGTTTGATTGGGCCAGAATTTATGTAACACCTCGAAATATTGGTTTCCCACATAGGAAAGTATATATGGATCTTCCTAGCTAACCGAGCTGAGTCGATTTAGGAATGTATGTCCGTCCGTCCGTCTGTCCGTCTGTCCATGTTCATTTGTAATCACTCTACAGGTCGCAATTATGGTCCGATCTTCACGAAATTTAAAATGGAGGTGGGGTTAGGGTCAGAATAGAACCCTATTTCTTTTGGAGATGATCGCCAAATGTTTAGGGTTGAAATGGACCAAATACTGAAAAAATTTCGGATTTTGCAGTAGCTATACAGGTCGCAATTATAGACCAACCGACGCGGAATTTCGTATGTAGCTATAGTTTAGGGCGGGGAAGAAGCCTACCAATTAGGGTGGTCATCGGATAATATTTAGCGGGTAAAATAGACCATATCTTTTGTGTTGAAAAAATTCAACATTTTTCATTAAACCGCGAATATTTCAAATCCCGGCGAAATCACAAAGCCATGACAAGGATACTTCTGACCTTTACATTGATGTTAACATCCAACAAAACGGATATATAGCAAAATATGTGCGATATATATATGTCTATCAAAGAAGATATGCTTGAAAGATCTCTTATATGTCGAGAACGGTTGAACTGATTTCGACAGTTCTCATTAATTAAGAATGGCCTCTTGGCAGGAAAAAAACAACGTCTAAGAATCGCATAAAAATATCTCTCTAAAGATGAAAATATTGATTTTGTAACATTTTCTCATATTTTTTTCAATTTTGTCATATTTTTGGCATATTTTCATTTTTAATTAAAACATTTGGTAATATTTCTATAGCTAACAAAACTAAGTAGTTAGGATGTCAGGATATCACATACAGATCGCATTTATGACTCGATCCTTACTAAATTTTGCATGCGGATAAGATAAGGGTCAGAATAGAAGCCTACTTTTTTTGGAAATGATCGCCACATATTTAGGGATTGAAATGGACCAAAAAACTGCAAAATTGTCAGCAGGTCGTAATTATCGCCCAATCCTTACACACATTTGAATGGGGGTTACCGGACATTGCGAAAGCCAAGCAGTTTTGGATGGCCATCCAAAAATATAGACAAAATACGAAAATGTCCAATGTCAGAGACTTTTTGGAGAATTCACAAATACAGGAAAGACGCACTTCTGACTATTTCGTTAACGCTGATTTCGTGGAAGAATATGGTCAAATGTCTGTATCTCATATAGAGGCGTTTCAGTCAAAAACCAACAATAAATGTTAATCTTTTGCCACTTCTGAGAGATTATAGGTCTTTGGGAAATATTGGTTCCAGATCTAGGAAGACCATTTACGTGCAACATCTACCAATAAATTGGAAATGAGCAAATTAGTTTAAGTTGCTATTATTCGAAAATTAGAGAACGAAACCTGATGGTTTTCTTTTATAATTTGTCACAATATCTTGTGGAATTCTTTCGAGTATCTCGCCTATATAAATAGTATCGTTTATTATAGTGTTGTGAGTATTCAACGGTCGGTCCCGCTCGACTGTAGCCTTTGCTTACTTGTTTTGATATGTTTTTGTGAGAACAAATTGTTTTCTATGCAATAAAACAAAAACGCTAAGGCGTGTTTTTTTATCAAAAATCATAACCTATTGGTTTTTAAGTTTTAATTGAAACTCCTGCTCCTTCTCCTTCTTTTTTCAGACCGGTGGAGAAAATTTGGACCTATAAATGTGAGGGTGACAAATGTGTTCGCTATCATTACTTAACCTTGGCCAAGGGCGAGAAACGAGTGCCTTTTATGACCTGTTCCATGACCTGTGGTGACATCAACATTTGGCCGCATCCCACCATCAAATCCGGTGTTAGTTCCAAGTCACTGACATTTTCCATGGAAGATATCGAGCTGCGTCTGGACACACCCTATCCGCAGGTGGAAACACAATTCCGTCAATCATTCGAATTGTTTCTCAAAGATCTGAGGCGAATACAAAGACTGGATTTTAGAGATTCGTCGGGAAATGAAGGTGGTGATGGTGGCGGTGTTGCTGGCGGCGCAGAGGCAAATGCAGCACCAGTCGCATCTTTAGTCAATGCTGATGCCAGTGGCAAGGTAGAGGATGACGTCGGAGATCACAAAAAACGACATAAAAGACGCTATGCCGATGCCGGACAATCGGAGTCGCATCGACTGCGTGGGGAAAATCTTGGAGCTGCCTCCATCTTGGCCAATGCCTTTGGCGGGGTGGGCTCAAGGAAGCGCTGTGATATTGAAACATTTACGATAAACGTTAGCGTGCATAAATTTTCCGATTTGCATTTAAATTTTGAAACGGACGAAAGTTATCGGCTGACCGGGGGATGTGAGTAGACACAACTAAGCATGCGTTTTAAAATTCCAAAATAATTTTTCCGCTCTCTCCCTCTTTTGTTTAGTTGAAAATGGCCATTACAAAGTACAAATTGCAGCCAATTCATTTTTTGGAGCACGCCATGGTCTCTCTACCCTGGAACAATTGATTTGGTACGACGATGAGGACAATGTCCTGCGAACCCTGTCGAAGGCGATTATCATCGATGCGCCCAAGTTCAGATACCGTGGCCTTATGCTTGACACCTCACGTCACTTCTTTTCGGTGGAGGCCATAAAACGAACCATTGCCGGCATGTCCCATGCCAAATTGAATCGCTTCCACTGGCACATTACCGATTCGCAGAGTTTCCCCTATGTCTCGAAACACTATCCGGAATTGGCGGCACATGGTGCCTATTCGGAGCGAGAAACCTACACCGATGAAGATGTACGAGATGTTGTGGCCTATGCCAAATTGCATGGTATCCAAGTGGTGCCGGAAATAGATGCCCCCGCCCATGCCGGCAATGGCTGGGATTGGGGTCCGAAACGGGGCATGGGTGAGCTGAGTCTGTGCATCAATCAACAGCCTTGGAGTTTTTATTGTGGTGAACCTCCGTGTGGTCAATTGAATCCGAAAAACAATCACACCTATCTCATACTGCAAAGGCTGTACGAGGAGTTATTAAATTCCACAGGTCCCACAGATTATTTCCATTTGGGTGGTGATGAGGTGAATTTGGAGTGCTGGGCCCAGTATTTCAATGACACCGATTTGAGGGGTCTATGGTGTGATTTCATGATGAATGCCATGGCGAGGTGGGTATTCTTCCATTTGCTTCGTGAGAAATAGAAATTAATGCTGCCCTTGATTTTAGGTTAAAAATTGCCAACAACAATGTGGAACCGAAATATGTCACCGTATGGTCCAGTGGCCTCACCAACACCCGTTGTCTTCCAAAATCCCAATTTGCCGTCCAGGTCTGGGGTGGCAGTACGTGGCAGGAGAACTACGACTTACTGGACAATGGTTTCAATGTGATATTCTCACATGTGGATGCCTGGTATTTGGATTGCGGTTTTGGCAATTGGCGGGCCACAGGTGAGTAGCTCAAGTCCTCTTTTAATTCATATTGAGTTCAAATGATGTATTCCCTTACCAGGTGATGCCGCCTGCTCACCCTACAGAACGTGGCAAAATGTCTACAAACATCGTCCGTGGGAACGCATGCGTTTAGATAAGACCCGAAGAAAACAGGTCAGTAAATATTTTGTAAAAGTCCTGACTGATTTTGATATAAAATTGTATTCTTAGGTCTTGGGTGGCGAAGTTTGTCTTTGGACCGAACAAGTGGACGAAGAGCAATTGGACAATCGGTTATGGCCCCGAGCATCGGCATTGGGCGAAAGGTAAATGGAAGAGTAAATAAACAAATTTCAGGATTTTTTGAGAGATACTTCTTGTTTTCTATAGAAACGATTTTCAGAACCGTAGGCATGGACTTTTTCCTATAGAAAACAATTTCAGGTCTAAAAATAAAAAACTCGAAATACCGTAAAGGAAGGGATTTACGTCTCAAGTCGCAATCATATTGAGGGATTAACTTTGTTTTATAGAAAAACCTCCCAGTTCTCCGTCCAACAAAGCGACGGATTTTTTACAGAAAAAAATAGACCTCAGTGCGGTTGAAGAATGAGCTGTTCAAGGATGAGCAACAGGTCTTATTTTGATAAAAAAAAACTCTAAATCTTCTTCTATAGGAACTGTAGACCTCTTCCTAGAAGAGCTGAGATCTTTTCGAAGACGAGCCTTAGGTCTTCTCCACGAAAAGTGATAGGTCTTCTCAGAGAAGACTTCGCAGACTTGCTCTTTTCATTGAACCATCCAATAGAAGAGTTGTAGGTCATGGAAGTTCTGTAGGTCTCCCTGCCACAGAAGAGTAGAATGCCTTCTCCTAAGAGAGCTGTAGGTAGTCTGCCAGAAGAGCAGTAGGTTTTCTCCTAGAACAGACCAATAGGTCTTACTCTCTTCTCAAAAAAAGATGTTGGTATTCTCATAGAACCTTCTAATAGAAGAGGTATAGGTCTACTAGATCAAGGAACTTTAGGTCTCCTCGATCAAAGAATGTTATTTCTTCTCCATCGAAGAGTTTTAGGTCTTCTCCTAAAAGAGTTGTAGGCCTTCTCCTAAAAGAGCTGTAAGTCTTCTCCTAGAAGAGCTGTAGGTCTTCTCCTGAAGAGCTGTAGATCTTCTCTTAGAAGAACTACAAGTCTTCTCCATCGAGGAGCTGAAGGTCTTCTCCTAGAAGCGCTATGGATTTTCCTTAGAAGATCTTCATCGCATAGAAGAACTGTAGGTTTTCTTCGCATAGAAGAGCTGTAGGTCTTCTTCGCCTAGAAGAGCTGTAGGTCGTCTTCGCATAGAAGAGCTGTAGGTCGTCTTCGCATAGAAGAGCTGTAGGTCGTCTTCGCATAGAAGAGCTGTAGGTCTTCTTCGCAAAGAAGAGCTTGTAGGTCTTCTTCGCAAAGAAGAGCGTGTAGGTCTTCTTCGCATAGAAGAGCTTATAGGTCTTATTCGCATAGAAGAGCTGTAGGTCTTCTTCGCATAGAAGAGCTGTAGGTCTTCTTCGCATAGAAGAGCTGTAGGTCTTTTTCGCATAGAAGAGCTGTAGATCTTCTTTGCATAGACGAGCTGTAGGTCTTCTTCGCATTGACGAGCTGTAGGTCTTCTTCTCATAGACCAGCTGTAGGTCTTCTTTGCATAGACGAGCTGTAGGTCTTCTTCGCATGGAAGAGCTGTAGGTCTTCTTCGCATAGAAGAGCTGGAAGACTTTGTCTCATAGTAGTGTTATGTTAAGTAGGGTTTCCTATAAAAGTTTTCCTATAAAATACCAATAGCTCCTCTCTGGAAATTGTGATTCTAAAAAAATGCCTGTTTATCTTAATTTTTAATCCCTTTATTCTCACTCTTTTCCCTTTTTAGGTTATGGTCCGATCCAGATGATGTATCCGACATGGATACAGTGCCGCAAGAAGTTTTCAAACGTATGTCAGTATTTCGTACACGTCTGGTCGAATTGGGTCTCAAGGCCGAACCCATCTTTCCCAAATACTGTGCTCAAAATCCTGGCGAATGTATTTGATATTTTCTTTAAATATCGAGAACAACCAGAACACCAAGTGACACCCTCATTAACTATATAAAAGAGTCATAAAACAACTGTTATGTTTCAATGAATGAAAAAAAAAAAAAAAACAGAATAACAAAACATACAAGGTTAAAGAAATTTTAATTTCCAAAAAAAAAAAAAAAACTGGAAATTATGCAAAGAGAAAAATTAAGATTATATTAAAGAAATTCATTTAAATGTTTATATTCTTTACTTTGTGACAATGACTTTCTATATAAGACAAGAGAAAAAACCGCAAAAATTAAACATACCGATGACATACGTACATATTTAAGAAACGTTAAAACATCTAAAGCCAAAATAACAGCAGAAAATTAAAAAAACTAAAACAAATATTAAGGAAATTAACTAAGGATGATAGTCTATAAGGAATGGTTTCTTAATCAAAATTTAAACATTCATTGTTGATTAAATTTTGAAATAGATAACACAGTGCTATGAATCGGAAAAAAGAGAAACACTGGGTAAGACCCCTGCTTTTTCTTTCTCCATCAGTCGAAGCCGAACCTGCATTTTCTAGCACTGTGTAATTGAGATTTAACTCGAATTTTTTTTTTGTCTACTATTAATTGTAAAGTAATTTTAGATTTAGAATCTAAGAGAAAGTTAAACTTCTTGTTTTGTTTCCCTTTGTTAGTGAAATTTATATTTAAATATTATTTTTTAATTTGTAATTTTTTAACATTTTTTCCATTCGTTCATTTTTTTTTTCGCTTTGCTCTAAATGTGAATCATACACGTGCACGCACACATACATACACTCATGTAATTGAATAGAAAAAAGAAGAAGAAAGAGTTCTAAAAAACCAAAACAGTCAGCATCATAAGAACAATAGCCACAATGCATATACCTACATACATACATAATACGTATACATAAATAGAACAATTTGTATTTATTTTCGAATATTACTACATACAAAGATACTACATATAATTATGTAAAATTGTATTTTTTTTTTTTTTTTTTTTGTAAATTAAGACCAATATGTATTTAGAAAAAAAAAAAACAAAGAAGAAGGGAAATATTCCCCAAATGTCAATCATATGCCCTGGAAGAAGTTTGTCCATCTATTTTTCCGATTGTGAGATTTGTATACATAAAGAGGCCAGAAGTATATAATCTTAGATGCGCCATCTTAAGCAAGACTAAGAAAAGTGGTCATAAGGAAAGCCAAAGGGGTACAAATTAATTTAAAATGAACCAAAGTTGTATCTGTTCTAATAGAGGATCGCTTTATTTTTCTTTATTTATTTTATTTTCTCAAAAAAAAAAAAAAAAGTAATCACCCCTATTACAGAATAAATGGGAGAGAATGCGAATTCCCATTCACAAAACAAAATTTCGTGAGAATTCCCATTTACATTGATTTGCTATTACCAAATTATGGGTATAATTGAAATCAGCTGATTTTTTCGAACATTAAATTATATTTGTTGATAACTGTGAAATTGTTTTCGCATGTCATTTTTGACCATATAATCATTCTTTCCTGAGCTATCACCTCATCATCCATAAGGTCCCCAGCTGATTGTTCATCAGCTTTAGAAGCAAACATCTTTCTTGATGTATTGTATTAAAGGAAGTTGAAGGAATAGGTGTGTCCTCTGCCAAATAAATTCCACTCACTACTGCTGTGACTGTTCTCCTTACTTGTATCAGGACCTCCAAGCACAAAGGAGTACCCCTTCCACAGTCTCTTTTATATTTACCAGTGCCTTCGCGGTAGCGATCAATATCTGATGCCCTCTTCTTCGTGTATCGCCACTGATCCATCCACACCTTTGAAAATGCATCAATTTAAATTATTTGCTTAAAAAGTGCATAAGTAAATACCTTTTTCTTGTTTGGCGGTCCTGTACTATTAGCTGCCGTTACTGCTTTTTCCCAAAACAACACACTCTCCTCTTTGCTTATTTTAACATTTTGCTAACAAAAACTTAACTGTTTCACAACTATTCATAATACGGGAAATCACATGGGTAAAAAAAAACACATAATAACCAGAATAGAAGAGGTCCACATTCAAATTCCTTCTTACAGAAAAGGACAATCTTGGGAATAATATGTATAGATGCCGAAAGCAAGACTAAGTGAAGTCTTCACAAAAAAAGCCAAAGTAGCGTTTTAAAGCAAAAAATTAAGCAAAGCTGTACCTTTTCTAAAATCAGACAGCTTTACTTTCCCCGACTGATTTTATTTTCTCCAAAAAAAAAAAATAATAATAATAATAATAATTTCGTATCGTACCATAAAGCTCTCTTGGTTCTCCCATTGAAAAATAAATATTGTGGTTACCAAAGTAGACGTTTTTTTCAAAAGAATACCAGAATGGTACCAGAATTCAAATTCCTTCTTTCACAAGAAGACAATCTGGGAAATAAGGTTAATTCATTCATTTGTATATATATAGAGGCCAAAAGCAAGACTAATTGAGGTCTTCATAAGGAAAGTCAAAATGACGTTTCAAAGCAAAAAAATTAATCAAAGTTGTATCTGCTTTGCTTTCCTGACTCATTTTAATTTCTCAAAAAAAGTAATTTCGTCCCTCTCCAAAAAAGCCCTTTTTGTTCTCACATGAAAAGAATTCTGTGGACATCGAAGTAGATTTTTTTAAAAGAATTTAAATTTCTTCCTTCACAAAATGACAAACTTAAAAATCCACGTTTGGAGGTCTTCATGCGGCCTCAAAAGATTCTTTTAAAAATCCACTTTTGGAGGTCTTCATGTAGCTTTAAAAGATTATTTTAAAAATTCACGTTTGGAGGTCTTCATGTAGCTTTAAAAGATTTTTTTAAAATCCCACGTTTGGAGGTCTTCATGTAGCCTCAAAAGATTCTTTTAAAAATTCACGTTTGGAGGTCTTCATGTAGCTTTAAAAGATTCTTTTAAAAATCCACGTTTGGAGGTCTTCATGTAGCTTTAAAAGATTCTTTTAAAAATCCACGTTTGGAGGTCTTCATGTAGCCTCCAAAGCTACATCATGTAGCTTTAAAGATTCTTTTAAAAATACACGTTTGAAGGTCTTCATGTAGCTTCCAAAGATTCTTTTAAAAATTCCCGTTTTTATGGCTTTATGTAGCCTTCAAAGATTCTTTTAAAAATTCATGTTTTCATTCACTTTTGAAGGTCTCAAAATTTTTTTCTAAAAATCCCCGTTTGAAGGCCTCAAAAATTTAGAACAATAAAAAATACACGTTTGAAGGCCTCTTAAATTTCTTTAAAAACCCAAGTTTGAAGGCCTCTAAATTTTTTTTTTAAAATCCATTAAAAATTAGTCAAAAAATCCACGGTTGAAGGCGATTAAAAATTCGTCAAAAAATCCACGTTTGAAGGCCCATAAAATTTCTTAAAAAACGTTTTAAGGTCTCTAAAATTTACTTAAAAATTTCTTTAAAAAATCGACGTTCGAAGGAGTCGCTAAAATTTCTTTAATAAAATCACGTTTTAAGGCCTCTAAAAGTTATTTAAAAAATATATATATTTAAAAAATCCACTTTTGAAGGCCTCAAAAAATTCTCCTAAAAATCCGCGTTTGAAGGCCTCAAAAAATTCTTCTAAAAATCCACGTTTGAAGGCCTCTAAAATGTCATTAAAAATCTACGTATAAAGGCCTCTAAAATTTCTTTAAAAAATCCACGTTTGAAGACCCCTAAAAATTCTATAAAAAATCCATGTTTGAAGAAGTCGTTAAAAATTCTTCCAAAAATCCCCTATTGAAGGCCTCTAAAAATTCTTCCAAAAATCCACGTTTGAAGAAGTCTCTAAAAATTCTTAAAAAATCTACGTTGGAAAGAGTCGCCAAAAATTCTTTAAAAATCCACGTTTGAAGGAATCGTTAAAAATTGGATTTTTGGAAATTAGTTGCAAGACTCCATTGGGGCTCGTGGATTTTTTAAAATTATTTTAAAGCTTCCCTCGTGGCTTCCGGATTTTTTAAAATTATTTTAAAGCTTCCCTCGTGGTTTCTGGATTTTTTAAAATTATTTTTATTTTGATATATTCGATTTTAAAGGCACGTGAAGACATTTATGTAGCGAACTTCCAAAATCTTACCCAGATTTTATGCTTTTTTCTCCCACTCTCTTCTCATTTGTCACATTAAGTTTCATGTGAATAATACAATTGATGCCCAACATCACGACGAGCAGCTGCTGTTGCGAGAGCAGTGGCATGCAGCCATCGCCTGGTGGTCCTGTGGCATTCGCTTAACAGATGTGCTGCTGATTTTTATTTACGAAAGGATAAACAGAGAGAAAAGGAAGAAAGAGCAAAACCCCTGCATTAGTTTCGCGAGTCGTGGTGTCGCGTTTACATCTGAAATTTATGATTTTGTAGCAAAGGTGACAGCGTATCTTATATCGCTACACCTGATCGTTCTAATACCACGATTCTCAAGATACTTGTATAAATTCATAGTTGGGGTATTCTCCACCATTACCGCTTCTCAATTCTCTGATTTTTCTTTATGTAATATATAAATATCCTACGGGATTTATCATCAATAAATTTTAAAAGTCCTTTGGTCCATCCACTGCATCCGAATGAATCACTTCAAGCCAGTCTTTTGATCTTCTCTCTGATTGGAAACGATACAACTTGTATTTTTACATTACATCATATTTATCGCTACAGTGGGAATCGACTCTTTCGGTCTCTGATAATTTATGTAAGCAAATCTTTTGTGTCAGGGACTACCAGAAGTCTAAACACACTACTCGGACAACTTCAACTTTAGGCAAAAGTGATTGGGAAAACATAAACCCATTGTAAACCTTAACTCATGTCCACAACCACAGAGAGGCATAAACTAGATAAACAACCAACCAACCAACCAGGATAAGAGGAAATGAGACAAATTGAAAATAATGTCTAATATAAAATAAATAAATAAATATATATTTAATTTAATTTTTTGAGTGATACCAGGTGACCTTAAAACATAAAACAAAATGAATATATGAAAAAATAAAATTCAAAGAATAATAATAATAAAAAAAAGAAAACTTTATAAAGAATTTCAAGAAGAAAGAAAAAAAAAAAACATAAATTAATTAAAAACCAATGAAATAAGACATTTGTAATTATAACAAAACAAAAGTAATAATAATAACACAAATTATCTAGAAAATTGTTTAAGAAAAATATTTTTCTTTTAGTTAAGTTTTATTTCTTGTTCTTTTTCTTTTTTTTGCTTTTTAATTTATAGTCAAACGAAATGATATTATAATTTGTAATTGTTTCCTTGTCCTAATTTAGAAAAAAAAAATATATATATATATATATACATATATAGTTTTACTGACAATAAATACATTCAGAATATGGATTTTTTTGTTTGTTATTTCAGGTCAATTTGGCGTGTGTTTTACTACAGGGTGAAATAAAAAAAACTGCAAAAAAGTCAAACGCCATAAGTTTTAAATTTTTATACCCTACATCACATAGTGGTAAGGGTATTATGTCTTTGTGCATTTGTTTGTAACATGGAGAAGGAAACGAGATAGACCCATAGTTCCTTTTGATGATCAGCATATAATCACATTTTGAGTCGATTTATGCATGTATGTCCGTCCGTCTTTCCCTCCGTCTGTCCATGTATTTTTATAAACAAACATTATTCGCTGGAGATGAAATTTTCTAAATAACATTTGTTTGGCTCAAGGACGAACCCTATTGAAATTGGTGAAAATCGGTTGAAATTTAGACATAGTTCCCATACATATCTTCATACGATTTTAGGTTTCTTGTGCTCCAAATGGCTAATATTGCTGCATCCTACCGAATTTAGGCTAGAAGCATGTCCTTCAAATTTGGTGAAAATTGGTTCAGATATAGCTAAAGCTCCCATATATATGTTTCATCCGATTTTGATGTTTAAGTCCCTTACATTCGTTATATGCACTCCACAAGACTGATATTTAGCACCAGATATCAGATACAGCCTAGCAATTCATAGATCAAATTTTATCAAGATCGGTTCAGATGTGGATATAGCTCCCATATATATCTTCATCCGATTTTGGGTCTCTTGTGCACCAAATGGCTTATTTCAGCCCAAACTGAGTGAAATGTTGCACTTCCAAGCGAATTCATTCAAGAAGTTAATACTTAAAAAATGGTGAAAATCGCTTCAGATATAGCTATAGCTCCCATATATATGTTCCATCCGATTTTGGCAATACATGATTCAAATTTTATCAAGATCGGATCAGATTTGGATATAGCTTCCCTATATATCTTCGTCCGATTTTAAGTTTTTTGTGCACCAAATGGCTAATATTAATCCAAATAGATTTTCGCACTTTAACCAAATTTAGCATAGGAGCAAGAATTTCAAATTTGCTCCCATATATATTTTTCATCCGATTTGGTGTTTAAATCTCCAACTTTCGAAATATGCATATCAAAAGGTCTAGGTCTATTGACTTCAAAGATGTCCGCAATGAAATGGTTTGATTTGAAATGGACCAACAACTAAAAATGTTACTGTTATTTTGCAGCCGTTATAAAGAAATAAAAATCTTCTAAAATGGATTGGACATAATGGGGGCTTCTAACTTATTGCAGTGTTTTAGGGTATCGCATGGCCGGCCTTTGCTTACTTGTATTTTTTTTTAATTTTATTGAAAGCAAAAAGTGCCGGAAATAGCATCATATTTTAGAATAAGTTTAGATTTGTTCGAATTGGCCACCTTTGGCACGAATTATGGCCTTTAAACGGCCAATGAAACCATCACACGCTGCCCGAATGTTGCTCTGCGGTATTTTGGTCCATTCCCGGCGAATCGCTTTCTTGAGGTGATCGATCTTTGGTATTTTTTAGTGCTAACCTTGCTTTCCAAAATACTCCAATAGTCCAAAGTATTGGTATCCGGAGATTTTGATGGCCAGTGTGCACTGGAAATAAAGCGAAAATTGAAAGACTTCTGCCCAGCCTTAAGCTCTAGCCCTATGCCGACCTGAAGAGCAACTGCAAAATCAGGGAAATTTGTTTTTGGTCCATTTCAACCTCTAAATATTATGTGATCATATCTAAAAGCAATAGGCTTCTATTCTGACCCTAGCGCCAGCTCCATTCTAAATTTCGTGAAGATCGGGCCATAATTGCGACCTGTAGAGTGATTACAAATTAACATGGACAGACGGACAGACGGACGGACGGACCTACATAGCTAGATCGACTCAGCTCGGCGAGCTAAGAAGACCCATATATACTTTCCTATGTGTGAAACCAAGATTTCGAGGATTTACATAATTTTTTGGCCCAATCAAACTTATAAAACCCCCTCAACTAGTATTGTAGGATATAAATATGTTTCAGGGTTTTATTTCTTAAAAAAACATGTTATTTGTTGTTATTACATTCGATCTTTGGTTGTTGTTTTTTTTTTTTTTTTTTTTAAATTTCTTTCAAAGTAATTATAAATATCTTTTATTTTATAAAATATTTTCCAAATAAAATTACATTTTCTTCGCAAAACAACAAACCACAGTCCAATTATTAAAAAGAAACTATCATGTCCACATAAATAAATTTTTGAAAAAAATATAAAGAAAAAACATTCATATATTTATAAATATATTTATTATATGGAAATGTAATTTGTAATAATCAAAAATTTTCAAAATTATAGCAACACATCTACGAAATCATTGACAAGGGAGTTTTATGAAATTTTTATTTTTATTTATTTTTTTTTCTTAGAAAAGAAAAAAAATGCAAAACTACCCAATTTTATAGCATAACGAACTTAGTGAAAATATTTGAATTTTAAACTTATTTATTTTGCAATGGCATATGTATTTGAAATATAACAGATTATTAAACAAACAATTTATTTAATTTGGAAGAAAAAATGTGTAAATAAGAATTTCATTAAACATGTTTATCAAAAAAAAAAAAAAAAAAAAATCTAAAGTTTTTTATTCCACATATGAATAAGACTGGCAGGTTGTTATAACCCTTCCCATCCCTGCAATGATGGCCATATCAAAATTTGTATTTTATTTTACAACATTTATGAGTTTTTTTATTTGAAAACCAGCAGTACTATTGCACTGATAACAATGTACTCCGATTTAGGCCCTGTCTCTCATAGCGAATTGACAGCAGCAGCAGGCGACGATGATGATGACGAAGACCCAGCAACTGGTAGTGGTATCAGTTGCTCCATTTCGTCATGTTTAACATTCAGGCATTTCAAAAAATTCCCAATTTCCCCATTCAAAAGCGACGAACACTCAGTGAAATTAGCCCTATCATAGATATCCATTCTCAGATCCTTCTCAAAGGGATACACCTCCATTTCCTGAATATTCTCCGAGCGCAATTCATAATCGTTTAACTTTTTTTGGAATTTTGCAAATGCTTTCGATTCCGCCAAATAGGAGGCATAGAGCTGGGGTTCCTCATTACGTCGTTTATAGATGCCCGTACACACGGCCGGTAAATGTACGAGCAGTTGTTCTATATCTTCCATATCAAAGTCACAGGTGGTTGGATCCATTGCCAAGTCACAGTGAATGGCGCCCAACGTAAAAGTCAGCTGTTGTAGGGAGTTGAAGGAATTCTTTTTTTTAAACAATTTTTTTTCTTTTTGAGTTGCTAACTAACTCACTCACCAGCAGAAGGGGAAAACGTAATCTTGACATATTCCGACGGCTATTCCGTGTGTTTTTGCGGATTCAACGAACGATAAGCACTGAATGCAATATCTGAAATGGGAAATTTTCAGGCTGTCAATTGTTGTTTTTTATCTTTTTTTTGTTGCTTATTTGGTAGATATGACTAAGCGGGGTAGTATTTGGAAATGAAGATACTCCAAATGTGGTTAAGTTTGTTGGTAGAAAAGTTCTTGAAAACATATTTAAAAAAAATCCTTGTTTGTTAGTCGGATGTTCCTCGAAAAAACAAAATCTTAAAAAATGCTCGTTTTTAGTCCTTCATGTCAATTTGCTACTTTGAAAAATTTGTTTGGTCTCATATACTCCTTAAGAAATCCACAATTATTTGGTCCTGGAATATGTCTTTCCTCAAAAAGTCCACGTTTATTTGGTTCTTAAAGAAATGTTCTTGAAAAAGAACCCTCTTTTATTTAGTCCTTGAAAAATATGCTTGAAAAAGAATAAACTTTTATTTGGTCCTTGAAGAAATATTCTTGAATAAGAATCCACTTAAATTTGTTGGTTAGATGTTCCGTGAAAAAATTCACGTTTGTTAGTCGTTCACTTTCATTTGCTGCATTGAAAAACATTGTTTGGTCCTTGAAAAAAATTCTCCTTATAAAATCCACGTTTAATTGGTACTTGAAAAAATATTCCTCGTCCTTGAAAAAATATTCTTGAAAAAGAATCCAATTTTGTTTGGTCCTTGAAAAAATATTCCTTACAAATCCTTTTTTTTTGTCCTTAAAAAATCCACGTATACAGAGTTGCCCATATTCGACGGACCCATCTGGCAACGCCATAACTTTTGACAGAGATGTCACATTGCTTAATGACATACCGCGTTTGAAGCGTCAGTCCAAGCAGATTTTTACCATGAACCAATACACGCCACGCGAGCGCTCTGAAATAGTTGAAATTTACATTCAACAGAAGAAGTCAATTGGGGAAAAAAATGTGAGAAGTGCGCCTTCTAAGAACACCATTAAGCGTTTATACGAAAAATGTTCGACTGGTAAGGCTCTTTCTAATCCGAAGAGGCCATATAAAAGTCGACCAGAGCGGTCGGCCGAGAATATCGCTGCCGTACGGGCCAGTGTTGAGAGGTCCCCAAGAACATACCAAAAACGCCGTTCTCAGCAGTTGGGCATGGCTCGGTCCACTTTACAACGGATTATTCGCATTGATTTGCATTTGTTCCCGTACAAAATTCAATTGACGCAAAGAATGTTGCCTGCGGACAAGCCTCGTCGATTGGTATGGGCCCAAAGGTCCGTCGAATATGGGTAACCCTGTATTTGCTCTATCAAACGTCGCTGAAAAAATATTCTAGAAAAAGAATTCAGTTTTATTTGGTCCTTGAAAAAATATTCCTTAACAAATCCACGTTTGTTTAGTCCTTGAAATATTATTAAATAAAAAATCCAATTTTGGTCCTTGAAAATACTTTCCTTAAAAAAATCCTCGTTTATTTGGTTCTTCAATATTTTTTATACCCTCAGCTACAGGGCTAGAGAGGGCATAAATCATTTGATACGGTCAAAACGTTCCTCATCGAAATAATGGTTTTAGACCCTAGGTCTCTTTGGACCAAATCCGTTGCAGGACATTTGGAGTCGTTCTAGCGATGTCCGTCCGTCCGTCTGTCTTAACGCCTGGCTGGGCTGTGTACACAATAACTCTCAAAGGAAGCATCCGATTTGATCCAAACTTGGTACGTCGCAATATTACTGTCAAACATAGATCGATTTCGGAGATGGTCATAATGGGTTCAATCCTTCTTGTACCTCCCCACAAAATGTCAACATTTAAAAACAAAAACACAAAAATACAAGGTGAGATGAAAAAACTGCAACTAATTTAAGGCTGCTGTCATTTCTAAGCCACTCCTCCGACAGCTGTTAAAATTATTCCAGTGACAGCTCATTATATTGTTTACAAGCGTACAAAAGCATTTTGGTGAGAATTTTCCAGAAAAATAGTTATTCGTGATGGAATTCAAGCGTGATAGTGTGATTTCTTTATTTTTGCCTGGGAGACCACAAGTGGCTATCGTTGGAGCACTCCAGCATTTAAATACGAATAAATCTTTTGTGTCTCGTTACCGATTACGTGATACTGATCGCATAGCGCGACATATGTCAAGGAAGGGGACGGAAGAAAACAGCAACATCATCAGAAATGGTTCGAAAAGTAAAGAAGCGACTTGATCGAAACCTGCGTCGCAATGGCCGAAAAATGGCTCGTGAGCTAAACATATCGCAATATTCCATTCGGCAAATATTGAAAATGAGTTCGGGGTAAAGCCATTAAAATTCCAAAAAGTGCAAGAACTAACACCGCAACAGAAGGAAAATAGACTCAAAGAGCTTAAGAGTTGCTTCGCTTGGCCAAAAGTGGTGAACGGCCGAATTTGGTTTTCTGCGATGAGAAAACATTGGTTGTCCAGCGGTTTGTAAACTTGCCAAACACGCCAGGTTAGCTGAAAATGCGAACCTTCAGTTGGCCACCAGAACTCAAGCGCCTGTCATGGTGATGGTGTGGGCTGCCATAACAGCCGATTGTCGCTCTCCGCTCGTATTAATCGACCATGGCATCAGAATAAACGCCAAATAATCTGGAGGGTGTATTAAACCCTTGGGCACGCAAGCATTTTGGCCGCAGACCTTGGACTTTCCAACATGACTCAGCACAATCGCCCTCAGCACGGGACACCCAAGAATGGCTGCAAAATGAGGTTCCTCGCTTAATTTTCAGCGCAAAATGGCCACCAAAATCTCCGGATACCAATCCGTTGGACTATTGTGTCTGGAGTATTTTGGAAAACAAGGCTGGCACTACAAAATACCAAAGTGTCGATCACCTTAAGCAAGCGCTTTGCCGCGAATGGGCCAAAATACCGCAAAGCAACATTCGGCCATTTTAAGGCCATAATTCGTGCCAAAAGTGACCAATTCGAACAAATCTAAACTTATTCTAAAATTTGATGCTATTTCCGACATATTTTTGTTTTCATTCGAAAAAATTAAAAAAAATGTAAAAATTATGGCCTTCGACTTTTTTGCAGGTTTTTGATCTCAGCCTGTATAAGCAGTTTTTACTAAACTAGAGTTAAGCCGGAGTGTCCGATTCGGTCCAAACTTGGTACATCGTGATATTATTATCAAAATTAGATCGAGTTCGGAGATGGACAATATCGGTCCCCTCTTTCTGGTACCTCCCCCACAAAATGTCATCATTATCAAAGAAAATAATTTAATGAACTGAAAGAGAAAAGGATAACTCGATTTTGCTCCAACTTTGCAAATCCTAATATTCGCATCAGTGCTGGTAAGGTGCGAAAATGGATAATATCTGTCCGCTCCATCAAGTACCTCCCCCACAAAGGGTAAACTTTTTGAATAATTATAACTCTTATAAAATGTGATGTAAAATGCGACTGTCTTATGACCTCAAGATGGAATATAGCGGTCTACGCCTTCTGGTACCTCCCCTTCAAAGGGTGAACATTTTGAATATCCATGAAGCTCATAAAACGCGAAATTAATATCCGATTCCTTTCAGACTTAGTAAATCTCAATATTTCCATTAACACAAGATCTGTTGTAAAGATGGTAGAGATCGGACCATTTCTTCTGGTACCTGCACCACATAGGGTACACGATTTGAAAACAAAACGCTCAAAGAAATCTGCTGGATTTTCCCCGTAATTATTTGTTTTTTTTTTGCTTTGCACAGGGTTGCCTTTCGAGTTGCGAAAACGATACGTATTTTCATATTTACGAAATACCGTAACACCCCCTATGCCCATTGTTTCCCGGTCATGACTTCAATTTCTTCTTTTATTATATTCATAAAAAACAAACGCAGTTGAAATATTTATTTTTTTTTTTGGTCATATAAATAAGAACAATGAACTGCCAAAAAAAGTGAATATAAATAGAAGCCACAGGCCTCTTGGGGGTAATAGTAACAAATCCGCTTTGTGATATCTCAGTATGAAAATTTTCCTGCTTGGATTTTTGATCATGGCTGCAATGCTTGCCATAGCTCAGGGCCGATGTCCGGGAAGGCCTGGTAAGTTTTGGTTTTACGATTTCGTTAAGTTTTTAGTCAACATAAAATTGTGGCCCTTTTGCAATTCCTAGCTGCTCCTGTTTGTAATCTTCATTTTGACAGTGGTCACGGTGGCGCTTTCTGCGTGTTACGGCTCATGTGGTGGTATGACCGGACCTTGAATATCTGTCGACCCTTCTGGTATGAAGGTTGTGGCGGCAATCGTAATCGCTGGTGTACGCTGTTGGAATGTGAATTCGGCTGTAGACGGCGCAGTTTAAATGATTGATTTATTCAATTGAAATAATATAAAAAAAAAAACAAATATGTTGAACCACAAAAATTAAATATTAGAACTAAGCCCAATACGAATATTTTTTAAAAAAATACTTTCAACTTGCTTCTAAGATGGATCAAGAAATGGGAAACTATTTTTTTCACAAAAAACAAGTTAAAAACAGTAAACGGGCCGAACTTTGAATACCCTCCACCATTTGGAACAAAGACATAGAAGTATAAAGATGGGACAAGACAGAGTCAAGACATGGCAACCCTGTGAAAATACCTCTGTTGTTATGGTATCGTAACAACATAGTTAAAAATGTTATGCGATTTAAACCGCTTAGGCAATATGCAATTAATTTGGAAAGTCTATGGAATATAATTTTGAAACCCAATTTTTGGATTTTTCAAACTTTTGTTTGTCATTTTTTTCTATAAATATATTTTTTTATATTAATATGGTCCTGCCATAAGCTGTTACCCAGACAGTATAGACACAAACCATTTGCTCAGAATGCATTTTGTCTAGTCTTTACCATTTTAGGTCTTTGTTTGGAATGAATTTAAAAATTTACAAAAAAAAAAAATTTTTAAAAATTCTGTTAAAATTTAAAAAAAATACCGAATATAACCGTTACATTGAGGTCTATAAGGCGTGGACATACATAGGCATTGTTTGTCATAAGCCATTACCATATT